TTTAAAACACGACATCATTGGCATTGCAGCCTTATGCTGCCGATATTGTGATAGTAAATAGATAGGACATAGAGGACTCGAGGGTAAGATTTGAACACATCATGGTTGTTTCCAATTGCAGCAACATGTTTTCCAATGAGAATAATCACAAAGCCGATAGTACTACAACTTTTTTATTCAACTTTGCATATCGTGCTGCTGCCCGTAAGTTTTTCCATAATGTTCCTCGACTTTGATGCATAAGAGGCGAATTGCTTTTATTAAAAAAATTGACGAATTTCTTTATCTAGTATCTGAAAACGCACAATGTAAGTGCTACAGATCTAGAAGACATATACTTCTTTAGAAATCGTCACTATTACTACTCCTGCGACAGTCAGAAGATAAGCAGCCGTAAGAATCAACAAATTTCGCAGGCCCTGAAATCAAGGTTTAGCTTTTCTTCAAAGTTTACAATCTCTTACAAATCAATTTTAATCCTTCCTTTCTTGGCGTCTTGTTATTCAACTTGCTCATCTTTAGTAACAGCGGTCATATGGGTTCAAAACCAATAGCGCGAGAAAAATTAAGGCAGAACACGTTGGACGCCCAGATCGCATTGATCTTTTCAGTGTTACCGGACATAAACCTATTTTCTTCTTGCCTACCGTGATCTCTCTGTAATACAACACGCTCCATGTGGAAACCACCAAACCAGGAGCCATCTGCCCTATAGGATAAGCGATTGCAGCATTTAATTTGTCGATGGCCACTACGAATGCTGACATCGCACAGCCATATACAAGTCCCGTACAAAATGCAGGTATAATTGCTTTGGAACTGACCCACGGACGATTGCGCCTGAAAATCTTTACATATTGATGAAAGGAGCGACTTATATTCATGTTGAAGCCTCCTCTCTTGCCTTGCTATTGCGTAGATAACAAAGATACATATGGATGTCGACAGTATTCCACAAGTGTACGAAAAAAAGTAGTGCAGCGGATTCTTCGGAGTGTCGGAAAATTTTTCCGGATGGCTCTGCAAACATTGTAAAAGCTTGCTGTGTTAGCCAAGATTAGGAGCAAGGTGCTAAATGGACAAAATTTTTGTGATTAGTACGCTCTGTCAGACATTTTCTGTTTGCTTGCGATTGCCTTACGCTTGGGCTAAGTGATATGTATTTTTCCAACTGGCGCTCTTGCAGTTTTGCTTTCTTCAGAGTCTGAAAGTAGTCGAATACATTAGCAACCTTTCTCAACAATACGCCACAACTCAGAAAATATCCAATCTATCGCAAGGCACTAACTTGATCTTGTGTTTCTGGTTATGTTTCTTGGTTCATTAGCGGAGTGGATGGTTTGGTTTTCGATGTATTTGAAGAGATTTGCCAATACATTTGACTTTCCAGACTCTGAAGAAGGCGAAACTGTCGAAACCTCGGTCAATTAAACTATACTTATGTCTTGGTCCAAACATGAAGAAAGTCGCAAGCTAGCACATTCCTGAAGATTAACAATAGACTTGGTGGTGAGTAGTTGGTTAGTCACATTGCAAGAGTGCATAAAAATCAAGCCACTTAAAAATAAATAAAGGCTTATTAGAGTAAAACATACTATTGTAAAAATATTCCTTCCGCTATCAAAGTAAGTAATGGGAAGAAAGCAACAGAAGTCCTTTATTTGGAAATGTCAGCTTATTTAGCCTATTTGTTTTTGTGTCAAGTTGTCCCTTCCTAGCATACAGTTCTGGGATGTATACCGTTTTCTATTGTTTAACCCAAATTTGATTTAACTCCCTCGTGATGGTCTACCGCCTCATCGTGGCGCTTGAGTGACTCTGGCTGTCACTCTGCGAAGACAGCGGAGGACATGCCAGTAGCATCACCTTCTGACTGCTTCAGTCGCTAGGTGG